GGCCCCATCACCGTCGGCTCATACACGCGCGGACCCCGTCCCCCGCTGCCATGTCCGGTGCGACCCCGTTCGACGGCTTGCCGCCCGCCCCCACCCCCACCCCCCAGGGGAAGGCCGGGGCGGCTGCACCCATGCGAGCGCCTTGCCGCCTCCCTATGCTTCCAGGGGCCTTCTTCCTCGTCTCCTTCCTTTGAGCCGAGGCAAGGGGCAGAAATTGGCCGTGGTGTCGGGGCTCGACGCGCAACCTCCCGGCGGCCTCTGCTCGCACCTCGTGCCCCGACGAAAGAGGGTTTCCTGCCAGCCGCCGGCCAAAGAGGGGTCGGTGATCTGTCCCCCGTTCGCCGTCCGGGCCCCGGGCCTCGGCGTTGTCCCGGCGCCGGGGGCCAGCCTTTGGGCCGGGCTCGGTCCCGCATAGTCGGCCCTCCGGTGCTCCTCGCCGGGCACATCGGCGCGCCGAACACATGCCCAATCCCCAATCGGGGGCGAGCCAGCCCCTGACACGGCTCCTCCCTCCAACCAGGGGGCGCATCTGTCCGGCGAATGGCACCTTTTTGCTGGCTCGGGCGCGCTCTAGCGGCATCTCACTGCCAGGCACCGCGCATCACGGGCCACACACATACACACACACACACGCGCGCGCGCGCGCGCGCGCACTCCAGCCTTCCATGTCTCTTCTTTGGTGCTTGTCGCCGCGTCTCCACGCCAACATCCACAGGCAGGGCCGAGAAATAACAAGGAGGCGTCGGCCGGGATCTTCCCCGGCAGACCCTCGACCGAATGGAAGACATGTTTATGTGCGTGTATGTGTGTGTGTGTGAGTGTGTGTGTAGACGGGGGAGCTATCCACCTATCGATCCACTTTCGATAGGTGTGGCTCCTTGTGCGTGTCTCTCCGCGAATGATGGTGCGCGTGCGGGTGGTAGGCTCCAGACATGCCGGCCCCAGTCTTGGCACGGCGTGAAAGGCGCCCATGCACCGGGGCCAGGTTGTCAAGAGCGCCTCCAATGCCCTGGCACAACATCCCGATATTCCGGGATATTGCAGACCCTCTACAACTGCTCGGCCTGCCCCCCCCCCCCCTTCCAGGCCAACATCCCGATCATTGGACCCGGGTTCCGGCGATCCCCTTCCCCCCGGCACGTTGCGCGGCGCTCCGGCATCCGAGGGTGGCCTTTGTGCCTGGTGGTGATCGTCAAAGCTCGCGCAGTCGACGCGCTCAGCCCCACCGAGCATCGTGGCACATGCCAAAGCATCATGCTCGCCGTCAGCCCGGACATACCCACACACACACACACACACACACATTTAGCACACAGGGCTCGAAACACCATGTACACCAGCCCACACCCCCCGGCTTCGGGGCGTTTCCACCGGCCGCGGCCCGGGCCCTCGATGGCTCGGCCCCGGGTTCGGCCGTCCCCGCCGACTGAACGCCTGCCGGCGAGGCTCGCCCCCTCATCCTGGGGCAGCCGGCACTTGGGCGGCCACCCGCCTCAGGGGGCGGGCCGGCCCGGGCCGGGCCGGGCGGAGGGGGGGGGGGGGACCAAATGTCGGAGCCATGAGGCCCACACACAAATGGCCTCAGTGTCCGTCCATGGGGCGCCCCTAAAAATGCCCCCCCTCCCGCCTCCCCTCCCCGACGCCCCGCCAATCACATAGCGTGCCTCATTTGTGGTGATTTCATTCGGTCGCAAATAATGAGCCCCCCGGCCTGGTCCTGGCCCGAGGGGAGGGGCACCTGAGATATGTCCCTGCAGAGCGGGCTCGAAACAGTCGCCGACGTGGCTGGCCAGGCTCGTGGGCCGAGTCGAGCCGAATTGCGCCGAACAAGGCTCTCCACGGATGCATGAGCCAAAGGGGAAAAGCATGAGCGACTGCCATATTGCCGGCGGATGTGCCCGTGGTCCCGGGGGCGGCGTGTATTTGCCTGCCTGCCCGCGGCCGCGCTATTTTCCCCGGGGACCTGTGTATATGTCTGTGTATGTGTGTGTGTGTGTGTGTGTGTGTGTGTGTGTGTGGTCGTGTGTATGTATGAGTAAGGGTGCGACCTTATGTCCTTGCCTGCCGGAGCTGCGCGGCAAAGGCGCCATCCAAATTAATGGTGTTTTGAACGACCAACGTGGAGATGTGGCTTGCGAAAGCCCGGGGGGGAGGGGGGGGGGATGCACCGAGGTGCGAAGCGCTCCGCCCGGCCCCGGGCCCCGATCTCCCGCGCTTGGGATGGTGTTAACACTCTCCCGGCGCGGCCGGGGGTGTCTCCGGCTGCGATCGGCCGACGCGGCCGCGGCCCCCAAAAGGCTGTCTCCTCTCGGCGCCAAGAGGCGAAAGGAGCCAGCGGATGTGTCCGACCGGGAGGGCGTAATTCGCCTGGGGCCCCGATGAATGACCGACGATCGCGCCGAGGCGAACAGACCTCCGCCCCCTGGCAGGACGACATGCTGGCCTGGTCGTCGACTTGCCTTCCCCTATGTCCCTTGCCGGCCCCTCGTGCTCTCTTCTTTCGGCTGGGGCGTTCGCAGACCCTGAACGGCACTGGCAGGCGGGAGTCCGGGCGGAGCCAAGACGCGCAGGGTCGCCGCCCCTCGCCGAGAGCGGCCCCCGGCCCGTCTCTCCCTTGTCCCCGTCTCCGGGTCGGGCGTGCGCGGCCACCTGTCACCCTTCCTCACCCCAGCGGCCGACCTGGGTGGGCGGCAGGAAGCCCAAGAAGGGGGAGAGAGGGGCGGCGGCCCCGGGTGGCGAGGCAAGCGGCGGCCAGGGGTGCGGGGGGGGGGGGGGGGGGGGCGAATTCAAGAGTCTGGACGTGCCGCGGCGATGAAGCCCGCAATCGCGGCTCGCCACCATAGGCGCACAAGCGTGTTCCGGCCGGGACCCCTTTCGCGTCGGGATGGGCCTCTGGGTGGGAGGT